CACGTTCCCACAATCCCAACTTGTTCTCTTGCAATAGCAAATTGACGAAGCACTCCAGTGATGTTTCCTACAATAGTCTCCCAAGTTAAATTTTGGTTAATTTGGGTTTACAAGCTTTTAGAGTGATCACTACGCCGTAATTATCAGTATAGGACTATTAAAAAAAACCCAGAATGGGCAACTTTAAAACGGTTCTCCTTTTTCCCGCTTCCATTAAACCATTGTCCTCTATCATTAACTACCCATGAGCACAAAACCTCATCACATCTCTACGCTTAGTAATTAAATGTTCATTACAAAATTTAAACTATTTCGCCTGAATATATTTGACATTCCTTTTGGTCAATATTTCGTCATCACCGGCCAGCAAACGATCGATGTCCTCCATGCCTGGGCCTAGTATTTTCACTGCGCATTGGGGCGTTGCGTTAAGATTACATGAGGCGAACATGATGTATTCTTCCATCTCCGTAAACCAGGCAGACTACGCGTTGCCTGTAACTTATTCTCTCTTCGCACCCAGCTACAGAAACGTAGACGACGACTTTAAAGGAAAGCTATAACTCTAAATTTCCCTTGATGAGAGTAGCCCAAGAAGCTACTACACCGTCGCGGGCATGGCCGAATACGGTAAGGGAGTAGTGGCCCTTAGGACCGAAGGTTCCGTGGGCTTCCGAGTCCCGTGCGTAGGCAATGTTGTATGTTGTGTTCGTCCTTCACGCCTGTATCATCACCATATCATGTCATCTTCAAGTTGCCAAAAACTTTAAGTGCAATAGTGCGTTGCTAATGTCCCTAATATGAATGCGACCTTAAAAAACTAAAATAAAAGAGGGACTTCGATGCCCGATGAGCAAGTCTACAGGCTTACGTTCTTTTCAAGTCAATCGTATTTGCCTGCAATGTGGCTTGGACAACTCAAAGGCCAACTTGAGCGCGGAAGCGTGTTTGGCCCCACTTGGGCGGCGGGCTGCGGGGGGGGGGACGGGTGCGGGGCGAGAGCCGAGAGATCCGCCGCGGGCGCCAAGATACGCCCACGCCCTAATGGGCGGGCTGCGAGCGGAGGCGCGCCGCGAGGCCTCTGCGCCTGAAAGGATGGAGTGCCCCTCCCCCTCCCCCCGGCGCACACGCTTCATTCGCTGCTGACTGCGCTTGCCTCCCCTCCACCGCTATCTTCTCCTGCCACGTCTCCTCCTCCTCCTCCCGTGAGTATCCATCTCTTTCTCCTGATCGTCTTCAGGGTCTTTCTTTTCTCGATTGTTTCCATGTCCATGACTCAGATCTCTTCCTCTTTTTTATCGCTTTCCCCCTTCTGCTTTTTCTTTTCATATCATCCTTATCCATCTCCTTTTTATACATATCGACGTTCGCGTCCTCCTCTTTTCTTCTTCCGCCTTCTCTCCTCTTCTTTCTCTTTCTGTAAATCGTCATTCTCCTACCGTGGCTCAGGGCTCTCCTACCTCCTGACGTGGCTCAGGGCATCAACTGATATCACATCAGTGTCTCTGACAGGCACATCCTACAATTCGAGTCCTGAAGGGGGTAATATTTTCGATAATCACCACTGTCTGGAGGAGAATTCTAACGGATGGTCACTCTTATCGCTATGTTTCCCCAGTTTCTGCGATCAGTACCAGGCGAATGCCGGAGGAATACTCTAACAAACGAGACGTGGACCTCTCGCTTTTCCCTTGATCCGATCTTGTACTAAACTCAGACCACACTTACCCATAAACTTGTACGCACCCACTTCACTACTACACATGACAAGAGGTCAGATTTTGAGCTTGTCCCGGCTGAAACAATGCCCCCATTGTTGGGAGATACTTGGATGAGGATAATCCTGCGAGCTGACGTGTAGGTCGGCGCTGGATCTCGCCAAACGGGAGGAGGAGGAAGAAGAAGAACAAGAAGAAGAAGAAGAAGATCGACACCTCCCGCGGTCAACATGTACTACATTTACATCACGAATGACCGTCGCATTTGACGCGCCCGGAAATAATCAATCATTCGTTTCTTCCTCTTGAAACTGTCTACTTCTCTTCTTTCTATTTCGTTCCCCTCTCCCTACACATCCACCGCTTGAACCTCTTCCTCCTCCTCCTCCGCCGCGGCGCGCGCTGCGCTGCAGTTGTCGTGGTCTCCGCGCGCCGCCTGCGCTCCGCGTCCGCGAGGGAGCACTCAGGGCGCCGACGCGCCGCCCTTCGCAAAACAGCTGACTCCGATCATCGTTCCAATAGTCGTTTACCTGGGCATTAGCTGGTGTAGTTGGGAGCGCACAACCCTCAAGCAAGTTCCGTGCAACGAAAAGTCAGTTCGGAGCCATGGCGGTGGTGCACTTTTGTCATTCTAGGTTAAACTAAACAATGACGCCGCGTCGAAGTTGCCGTTTCGACCATCTTGTCGTGGTCTTCCACCACCACCATCCAGAACTGAGAAAGACCACGACAAGATGGTTGAGACGTCGGCAACACAGCCTTATACGCGGCGTCACCCGAACAGCCAAGATCATGCACATGACTGACCGCGGAAGCCTACGACTTCACAAACAATGACCTGACCCAGTAGAAATTTCTGTAGCCTAACTGCTCTGATTGGTTGTTTTGAGCGATTACAGGCCAATAAAGTGCCATAAGCAACTGATCACGAATTGCACTTTCCTACCACCATCATGTCCCCTCTTCTGAGTGATGGATGCATCTACAGAACGCATTTCCGTCTAGTGTTCAAGCAAGGTTCAAGAGCCGTACGAAGCAAATTATATTAGTTTGCTCAAGAATGTTTTTTTTAAATTTTGCATACGTTTCTTTCTGACTGACTCAGAATATCCGCAATGCTCATGTTGTAGAGAACGAGAAATTCATTATTACACTTGTAGTGGTTTTGGTTATTCTATAACTAATTGGAAGGCATGCAGCTCTTCTCCCTCAATGTACAAAAGGCGCCGGGAGAACTGCCAGTACACAGATGTTTGCCAAAGGAGAACAATCAGCCTGAATGATCTTAATGTTCTGGATCGTTTTTTCTGCAAACCATTCTATCTGAGAATGGTGCAGTTCTTGCATCAATTACATGTGAATGACAAAGTAGAACAAAAAAGTCTACTTTCTGCGCACTGCAATGACGTTCCACTTCCGAGTCATTGTTATTGAGATAATAATCAGATCTTAGACTATTTTCCGCTGCAAATGAATGTTTTCAGTTATTGTTCACGTTTCATCTCAGATAAATAATGCACAAGTATGTTATTCCTGTTTTGTATCCCATGTGGCCGCATTTATTCTCTCCTCTCCCGTTCATTTTGTTTAATATTTTGTTATGAAGGATATAATTTCCTATCTTAAGACTAATCTTACAAATGCTATTTGTCTTTCTGTTATCCTGGTTTATCCGTCCTTGATATTGTCTATTTTACTTTTTAAAGAAACATGTAATTCATAATGCTATTGTTCAATCACTTTTCTTACCTTATAATTTCCCTCAGATTTAAGAAAGAAGTTTTTTAAAAGAACGTTCGGAATTTGTATTTATTTATTCTATTATTTTTCATTAAGAACACAATAATAAATTTGTAATTATGTTTCCATGTAGTGAATTCACAATTTATGTTTATAATTTTAAAATGAATAATTAATTTCCAATACAAATCTCTATAGGGATTGTTGCAAAACAGCATGTTGAATGCCCATAAATGCTTTTGCAAGATTAGACACATTGAAAATGGAATGTTTTGATAAAAAATATAGTTTCGTGAAAATGAAATTCCATGATTCTCGAAATTAACTCTGGATTAGCTACAGTAATTGAATACTTCCCATACAGCATATAATTCAATTTACTACCGAGCGCCAACCGTATTATCGACTGTCGATATTCTGAGTGTTAGAACTGTTTCATAAACTTTCTTTTCATGAGAAACTTCCCATTGCGGGGAAAAAATGCTAAATATCAAGAATCGCAGTAAAAAGTTACTAAATTTTTGAGAACAATGAAAAATACAAAATACAAAATTTTGGTTGTTTTCATAATTAAAACATATTTGAAGTTCCTTAATTATTTCAATTATTTATTAGTTAATTAATTGAATTTATGACTTTGAATGACTTTTAATGTAAGTAATATAATTTATTTTTAATAAAATAAATGATGCGAGAGATTACCCAAGTCAAATACATAACTAAAATGAGGATATGCAATGTGATTTACCCATTTTTATTTACTTCATTGTTTAGAATGATGACTGGCAATTCTGTGAAGTCAAATGCGACACAAATATTTCTGAAGTTCCCTTTTTTTGAATCATAATATTACAATCACATTCACACATATGTGTAGCTATCGTTATTACTAAGTTCACTGAGATCTCCACTGAACGATTACTTACCTTGCGGATCAGTAATACTTCGCAGAACACAATTTTGTTACCACTGAATTAAATCAATCAAAAATTCCCATAAGCGTTAAAGAAACGTTGAAATGAAATTGTAAAGTTTTTTTATACCTTGCATGGTATTTTGCACCGCATGGTGCACCTTGCGACTTCGGCAGTGAAATAATTAGCTGTAGTCTGTACAATACTGAAGTATGAGGGTTTAAATCAGATCAAAGCCGTGGATATTCATGGACGAAAAAATCCTTCCTTTGCCATCCTTCTGAAAGAAAGTAAACCACCTGTCCCATGTTGTAGATGTACTGCATGTATAAGATCCTCAAGCCTTAAATACATTCTCTGAGCTAAATTCTAATCACCTTATTCATCATTCGAGTGACATTTTCTTTCATTGTTAGATGACAGAAGGAACAAAATTACCGTGATCAGGCGAAAGAGCGGGCCTGTCCTTAGCCTCACAATGCAAAATAAGGCATCATTGCATTGAATTAGTTCTACTAGTAAACTTTTGTAATTAGTAATTAGTGAACTTGTCCTTAGTAAGTAGTAATTAGTGAACTTGTGTTTTTGTGTGCAAGGTACTATATGACGGAAGGTCCTTTTGTTGCAGGTCGATGAGTGACGCGTTAAAGTCGCTGGACCTGAGCTACAACGAGCTGGATCACGTGCCCTTCGATGCCCTTCGCCCTCTCAAAGGCCTCGACTGGCTCAACCTCCACAGGTAAGCTGAGCAACCACGTTCACTGCGCTCAACCACTTCGCCACGCTCCCACACGTTCACGTCGCTCAACCGAGTTCCTCCACTCTCCACTCATCTACCGTGAATCTAGGTCAATCACATTGAGTCACAGTCAAGTTCACTCAGCCACGCGCAATAAATATAATCAATCCTCAGCCACATTCAGCCATAGACAATTACACTTGATCACCCTCAATCACTATTCGTTACGCTGCAGCTGAACACCTCTCAGCCACGCTCTATTACTTTGAGACGCGCTCAACTACACTAACATCCTCAACGGCACTCAATCATGCTCATATTCTTGGTCATGCTCAACTCCACTCAGTCACGCTCAACTCGACTCAGTCACGCTCAACTCCTCTCAGCCATGCTCAACGCCACTCAGTCACCTTCAGTGTCTCCTAGCCCCCTCAACTTCACTCAGCCACTTTCAATTTCAAGTAGTCTCCGTCAACTCCACTTGGCCACCCGCAACTTCACTCGACCACTCTCCACTTCTCTCGATCACTCTCAACTTCTCTCGGCCACCCTCAACTTCACTCAACCACCCTCAACTCTACTCGTCTACCCACATCTGCACTCAGTATTGCCGTTGTTGCACAGCGTGAATACATCGCCGAAATGTATATGTACGAGCATATAAATATTTCAGTGTTTACCTTCATGCGTCAAAATATATTTGCATAATCATTTTTCTTCGAAGACGTACTTCAACATTTGTAATTTTTTTCTAATAGAAAGATCTATACCTACCATTCTTATATTTAGATGTAAGTAATATTATAATAGAATGAAAATAAGGATAAGTATGCGATTATAGTAGGATAGGTTTTTGATTTTAGGCATATGGTCTTCTCAGTACGTTTTGCTAATATAGGAATACATGTATATGAAATATAGACATATGGTTATGACACCAATTCAAAGAGAGAGGATACCGAGAAAATGTGGATATAAAACATCTGTTATTTGCCACTGCAAGTTATTTATTCATGTTGTTCACAGTAGACCATGAATATTATAAATTATAATCCACATTTTAATGTTTCACAGTTGCATGAATATTGTAAATTCTGTCTCTGATTATAAGCGCTTCTAATATGCTTTATGCATTATTACAACCTGAACAAAATCTATATTTCAAATTACAAAAATTGATAAGCTATGTAATTACGTGCTCAGCGTATCTAAATAATTAGCGTCGAAATTGCGTATTATGTTATATGGATAGCACAGATTTCCCCTGCAATTTTACCGCAACGTTTTGTATATGTATTAAAGGTAAGGTAAAAATTTGAAAGCAGGCACATGGGAGTTTGAAATAATAAAAAAATCAGTATTTTGAAAAAATAGTTGTTTGTGAATGGTTTATAATATAGTAGTTGTGTATCATCTCAATTTGTGATGCAATATGGGTTTACCTTATTGATAAAACCAGAAAATATTTACTACATCGACAGGTTCTTTAAATGTAAAAGTCCTGTTATTCTATTTAACACGAATAGAATAATAGTGTTTAGTATTCTGAGGTGCTTTCCAAATAGATACAATTACCTTAGTTGAATGCGATAACTTCAGAGGAGATTAGAAAGTGGCAGAAGCAGTAGCGTGGTCTCTGTCCAATGGGTCGAGAATCCCCGGATGCTTGCAGTCCCTTACATTCTCTACGAGTTAATCCATATTTCTATCTACCCTTCAATACAAGTGAAGCTGTTGAGTTAAAAATATCTTGAATGATGAAGTAAACAAGATCATCTAATTATAAACGTATTGATATTTTTGATTAATCAAATCCTTGAAACGATGATCTTGATGAACCGAATTTTCAAAATACCTAGATCTTTCAGAGATTGACAAAGAATAAAAGTTGACTTGCGGATACCATGAAGTATTTGGTGAAGATGGATAAAGTTTATTCAGTCGAGGAGACAGGTAGCCTGCTAAGAAGCAGCGTGCGCAGTGTTTATCAACAACTCCAGAGGAAGAAGTGCGCGCAATGGACCCACATAATTCTGCGCGCCCATCCGTGCAGCGCCACGTCTTAAACTTGGTGAACTCCATAATAAAACGAGCTTCGGCGAACGCTAAAAACGCAATAAATCACGGCGGGGTAACAAGATGGAGCCCCGCGAGGCGGCAGGGGGGCGGCGTCGGCAGCAGCGCCTCTCGGGTGCGCCAGGGAATACTTCCGGCGGGGGCGGGGGCGGGGGCGCAGCTCATCTCGCCCCGCGAAGCGCCAAACGTTTCCTTCCGGCGCTTCCCTCTCGCTCCGCCAGGCAGCGCGCTGTGCGCTAGCCCTCGAATCCCACCCCACCCCCTCTCTCCACTCCCACGAAGCTACCAAGCGTGTTATGAAAGAATTCCATTGAAGCTCGTCCGACGAAAAAAAAAAGTTTGCGGCCGCCGCCGGCTCCGTGGGCATTGTCTCGCATAACAATGAACTTCCGACGGAGCAGCGATCGACAGCCTGCGAGAGAGAAAGGCTCGTGTCACGGCCGCCGAGATCGCTGGCGTGTTCGGCGCCGCGTAATTCAGTCGGGCGCCTTAAGCGAGGCGGAAGACAAGATTAATTTCTATTAAGAACCTTCTCAAGTGCTTTTTGTGCGAAATTGATGGACATAATCATGTGGGCGTCCATGTTGGCTCACTATTGGACCTCCCTGTAACTTTTTTCCGCTTCTAGTGCTTTATAAATAAAAAAGTACTATAAAAATAGTTCGTTAGTGTTATAATATATAGTGCTTATAAATACTTAGTTATAATATATAATGCTTTTGATCACGTTGAAAGCAACCTTAATTTTTAATATTAATTTTAACATGACCGCAGCATATTTTGAATTCAGTGCGTTGCGACATCTGAGTTTCGTAAAGTATGAGAAGAAGCATCCAAATTTAGAATTTAATCAGTCGGCTCACAGCCCTGAAAAACTGGAATTGTCATGGAATTTATTATTTGCTGGAAAAGATGAGTAAAGGGCAGGCATTTTTTCACGAAAAGTATGTTCGAATTAATTGTAAAAACTTAATTGAAGTGGATTAGGCGATAAAAGGGAAAGGGCACATTACTAACGGTCTATGATATCATTTACTGAACAGATCAATGAAACTTATTGAAAATGTATATATCTTGTTTCGTCTACTCGGCTTCTTTAATTTCCACGTGCTCAATGTCAAATTCTTCTTCATCTTTGAGACGAATTAATTCATTTTGCCTTTTATTATTTATAATAATGTCGGGTCGTAAAAAGAATACAAAGAATTGAAGTCAGAATAATAAAATGTGGAGATAAAAGAAAATGTTGATGGCAAGGAACAAATGAGATTACAAATGATAAATACGGCAAAAGGAGAGTGTGTTGATCACAAGTTCAAAAGGGTAAAGAAAGCTTACAAAGACCGGCGTCGTTTGCTGAATTGTGTACCTACGCTCTGTGAAGTCACGGAAGTTAAGCAATTCGAGACACTGCGGATTCCTAGACGGGGTTTGGGAACCTCGGTTGCTAACAGCGCCGAGTCCCTAGCCGAAGGGATAAAGAGCACTGGCTGCGACATGACGAGACTGGAACAAAACGTTTAACTGATGATTACTCCAGATGCTCATTTCCCATCAAGGGTTTGGAGACGCGTTGCATCGACGAAGACACCACAAACTTTTAAAAAAAGTATTCCAGATTTAAATAAATTATTTGCTTCTTATTCAGTAGCCCGCCCGATTCGTCCTTTTCTCCCATCCATGCTCTACCTTGCCCTCCCCCCCAGACTCTCTCCTGACTCCACCGCAAATTCCTTGTCCGTCCCCTGGTGCCTAACCACACCCCACCCCACCCGACGCCCTCCTGCGTTATTCCGCCCGGCCCCACTCCACCTAAATGCATTACGATTGCATTAAACTAAAATTTGAAAAAAAATGATGAGTTTACATGGGGTTCGTAGGCTTCCGCGGCCGGAGTCAATGCATTCTTGGCTATCCGGGATGAGAAGCGTCTCGCTCAATTGTCCTGACGTTTCGGTCATCCTGCTGTGGCGTTCTTCAGAGCTCTACTGCTCATAGCTCATGTGCAGCACAAGTGACGTCAGCACAATTGACCGCGACGCGGCTCATCCCGGACAGCGAAGAAAGCGATGGGTCTGCATTTCAATGACACACTCTGTATTTTTCTGACCTCTTGGGTAAAATTGTGGAGAAATTGGTTCAGTGGTTCACAATTTATTGTTATTAACAACGTTTTAAAATTGTAACAACAATTTTTTGTCAAATTTAACTTGCTTTCACAAATACATACGAAATATGTATACGTACTTACCTTTTTATATAATTGATAATGGAGAGTGCAGGGTTTGGTATTTAGCTTATTTTAGATTTTCGCGTGAAATTCAACAAACAGTTGTTTAAGCTAATACATTCAAAGAAGGGTCCAGCAGCAAATAACTACGTCTTTAGGATCCTTCATATTCTTGAAAAACGACTAATAACAATAAATGTAATGTTTAGATAATTATCTATATCAAGATATTTTATTTATCTTCTTCAAGTAACTGAAAAGGGTAAAACAAAACCATAATCAACCTCCAAAGCATCTTGTCAATCGAAATGGTCATAAATTAAAAACTCCTAACAAGATATTCAAGCTGAAACTTCAAACGATACTTCCAACATAAACCACATATGTTCACTTTTTGCTCGAACACGAGTATTTCAATTTTATTCAATGTGCCGTTGCTGGAAACATGATAAGGTAGAAAAATACCAAACTTCAAACTCTAATCGATTTGTGCCGAAGAGAATACACATAGTTTATTTTAAAACGTTTTTAACGGAACTCGCATAAATTTTAACGTTTACGGACGAAAATGCTGTGTTTAGCAATGGGAAATTTTAATTATGTGCTGACGTTTAAAGACAATTTATTTCGTAATAAATTGTGAGTTATTTTTCCTGTAAATGAACACTTTGTTGTGAAAATACATACTAACTCG